TAATTTTCTTGTCATAAACAATACATCTCTTGACTACTTAGACTTTAAACATGACAACCTATACAATTTATTATACTTCTTTCAATACAACAACTTTAATATTGAACAACTAACTTACTATTCTATTAAAAATATCTGCAATACTCATATTATAGCTATGTGGTCATTCCAAAATTGAATAAATTATATTATACTAATTTCTTATTAAATTGACTAAAATGCTATATAGCTTTTCCTCTACAATAACTACAAGTAAACTCATAACTATACAGACTTCCAACTCTGCTAAGCAAAATTATTTTACATAAAAAATCTTCTAAATTCTCTTCTTTCTATCTCTAACTTATACAACTTATATTTCTATCTATACTCTACTAATAACTATATCTCATGTAATTTTTATAAATATAGCTTCTACTAAATTATTTGTTCAAATACTATACCTATTTTCTATATTATATCACAAACTATTAAACACTTATTACTACTTCTCTATTAGATTTATACTCTTATAAAATATCTCAACTTCAACAACACTACTCTAAAATACTTACTTATCACTCTTCTTGAATACTTCTTCCAACTAGGCTAATATCTTCTCTACACTACAAGGCTTTGTTTCTAAAACTATAGTTAATAACATAAATTCATATATTAATTCTTATAAAATAGTATCTTATATAACTATCAAACCACTACTTAAACTATCTTATAACCTGTATGAGCAGGCCTAAAAACCATACTGTTTTAATCTATCTAATTAGAAAAATAAACATAATATTCTTCAACAACTAATACCTTAATCCTCTACTTCTAACTCTCTAAACTTATCTTTATATTCTCAAATACAATTTACATTTAATTGTATCTATGATTTTTCTAACTAACAATATACAAACCTTAATTCATGTCCTTCAAAAGGACTAGCTTTCTACAAAATTGATATTTGATCTTCTATGTGGATCTAATACAACACTCCTACTAATTATATTCTAAACATTCTAAACATTCAAATCTAGGTGAGTTTTAACTATTCTAGTAAGTTTAGGTTGTAAATAAATTAGTTAGTTTTTCTTTCTATAGTTTGAGCTCTATTCTTGTATCTAAATTTGTAACTCCGAATAACCCCATGTGGTTCTTCTAACAAGTTTATTAATAAAGATAAGAGTAAAACCTCACCTTAAAAAAAATAAAAATAAAAAAATAAAAAAATATATATTTAATACTTTGAATTCAATAGCAACTTTGTTTAAAGCTAATGGATTCATAAAAAATGGGGGAGTAGAGCATTGTTGATGAAATAGTATATTATAGTTGGTAAAATCAGTGAATAGAGTATTAGGAACCATCGAAGTTGATGTTTCACTAGAGTTTCGATGATCAATAACATCTGTAACTTTCTTTGAATGAATATTTTTGTTTTTTTAATTTTTTTTTTAATTTTTGTTTCTTTAATTTTTGATGAAAATATTTGAAAATAATAGAAATCAATAGAGGAACGCTCAAGTACTGACTTCAGTGGTTATTTTGATTGATCATAATAAATGAGCACTAGTACAATCACTCATTAATAATATCGCAATTGTTGCTTGAGAAGATTTCAATTACGTCATAAATTTTGTATTAAAATTTTTAGCAAAAATTTATGTAAATATAATTATGCTTGAGCACTATTAAGATCACTTGCTAATCACATTGAGATTAATGCTTAAAAGCGACCTAAAACCAAGAATTTAACTTTGCATGGGCTAAAAATATTTCGCTAGATTAATTTATTAAAGTCCATTATTATGAGGTCATATAGCATATACTAAAATTCATTTTTCTAAATTCTGAGATAAAATATAATGAATCTTCTAACCTTTATGATAGCATTTGCATATACAGTATGATTACGAATAATATTATTTTTATTCTTGAAATTATGATATTTTAAAAAACTAAGTTCTTTAATGTAGTATTCATAAGAAAGATTTCTTTCAATACGTTAATATTTTTAGAATTAATTTGATTCTCAACAAGATTCAAGGAATCAAGTGTATTATTTTTACAGAGAGCTTTTGCTATTACTTTTCCTCCTTCAAAGCCAAGTCGATTATTATAAAGTTGTAAAGAAGTCAGAGTAGTATTTATGTAAAGTGCTTTTGCTAACGCTTTTCCACATTCATTACCTAGTTGATTATTTCCAAGATTCAAATAAGTTAAAGTAGTGTTCTTGCAAAGAGCCTCCGCTAATGCTTTTCCACCTACATAACCTAGATGGTTATTTTCAAGATCCAAAGAAGTTAAAGTAGTATTCTTGCATAATGCCTCCGCTAATGTTTTTCCACCTTCATAACTTAATTGATTATTTCTAAGGTTCAAATAAGTTAAAGTGTTGTTTTTGCAAAGTGCTTTCGCAAATTCTTTTCCTCCATTAGGTCCAATTTGATTTTCATAAATATTCAAAGTAGTCAGAGCAGTGTTATTGCAAAGAGCCATTGCTAAAGCTTTTCCACCTTCATAACCTAGTTGATTATTTCCAAAATCCAAAAAAGATAAAGTAGTGTTCTTGCAAAGAGTCTCTGCTAACGCTTTTCCTCCCTTAGATCCAAGTTGATTGTTATAAAGGTTTAAGAACTTCAGAGAAGTGTTTATGCAAAATGATTTTATTAAAAATATTCCTTCTTCAAAACAAGATATATGATTATTAATAATAGTTAAAGAAGTTATAGATGCGTTTTGACAAAGAGCTTCTGCTAACGCATTTTTTCCTTCAAAATATGGTAAACTATTATTAATATAAAGAGAAATCAAGGCGGTGTTTTTGTAAATAAATTCTGTAAATTCTTTTGCATAAAAAAACTCAACGTTATAAAGCAATATAGAGGTAATGGTAGTTGTGTTTTCATAAAGACTTTGAAATATAATATTATTATAAATATTTGTTTCTATGACAAGATATTTAAGTCTCGTACTTGTTCGTATAAACATTAAAATCAAAGAACACATTATAACATGAGTTACATTTGAATCTTCATCTTTTTCAGTAGGATTTGGATTAAACCCTTCATTTTTAAGCCAATCTTCAACATTAGAAAATAAATGACCAACAGATATTGTATAACTTGTATATTCAAATAGTGGTTTCGGATATTCTGGAAAAATAATACCTCGAAAGAGGAGTAATAGAGATGATTCAAGATCATTTAGTGCTAAAAGGCATATTCTGATAAGTCTTCTATCGGAGATATGGACCGTTGGTTCACTCCATAATATCGGCACAATGATTCTACACCATTGGCGGTTTACAAGAAGGCATGAAAATAAGCATTTATAATTATCCCGGAAATAGTTAAATATTTCAAAAAGGCACTCGTTTGGTAATGGAAACATTTTTTTTTAAAAGAATCAATGTTGAAACAAAAAACTATTAACGTTAGATAATCAATAACAAATTGAATACGTCATTTAAAATTTTATACTGGTTTTCAGAATTATGAAATTATGTATAACGTATTTCGAAAATAAATAGGATTTTAAAAAACTTGCAATTAAATAAGAGAAAGAAATGGGAGACTCCCATTTCACGAAATGAATGTAATAGTTTTTCAGAATAGTTTAAAACGTAATTGATAGTAAAAATGATTATATAAATAAATGAAATTAGACTTTGAAATAGTTTAATTCAAAAAAATACGTCATTTAAATACGCATGAATTCTGCGCCAGGTAATTTTTTTATTCTTGCATCATTAATGTTGGTCGAAAAGTGAAGATAAGGAATCATTTCTTATCTACGTCAATTACTAATAGACTGAAGTCATTTGTAAATTTGAAAATAACGTACGTACGCACGTACGTACATACTAGATACTGTAATAGGAAGAAACATCAACTAAGTAATCAAAACTATCACAATTTTTTATATTACACGAATAGCACTACGTATTATTACGATTGTCTTTACATAATTAATATTGATTTAAAATTTCAACTTATTGCCAGGGCATCAAATTACCTTGAATTTTCACAAATTGTTAATAAAATGCTATAGAATAAAGTTATGTTTGAAAATTTTCTATTTATATATAATTCTCGAGAATTCGTCTTACTGAACATTTTTAAATAATTTAGTAATATAGGTATGAATACTTGTTTTACTTTTTTTGATCCTTTTCTTTATACTATTTAACAATACCTCTTTTAAAAATTTAATCTTTCAAGTAAATATATTATTATAATTTGCTTCCTTACACCATTTACAAAACATTAACAATTTTATTAAAATACAAATATCGAATAATTTAGTAAAATTTTGACTTTTAGTAAAGTAACAGTAATACAGTAGTGTTTCGATAACTTTTTATATTGGTTATTCGTTATTCTATATGCAAATGACCTAAATGACCTAAATGACTTGGGGTCATTAAATTCTGATAAAAATGACCAGGTAAATTTACTATCACTGGATTTGATAGGTCTTCTGGTTTATTTTGAATCATGTGTGTATAGTAATAGAAGAATTGCATATTTAACAAAATTTTGATATTATTTAAAATTCTACCAAGACAATTAAATTTAGGGGTTCTAAGTATTTTTGGCTTTTTTTATTCTAGTTTAGTATGCATTGAAATTTATTTGCAAGATTCGTTCTTAAAATATTCAGTTTTTTTTATTTATAATTGTTACCATCTAAATGAATCAAATGATTCTATAAAACAACGGTTTAGAGTTTGAATAAGAAAATAGTAAAAAAGGCCGCTTTTGTAACAGAACTTTTTTTTATAAAAATGCAAGATAAGGAACCAACTTTCAAAAGTTTGATTTAATCCAGATTTATTGACCAGTGGATAAGAAAGAATTTGAAATACACAATTATTTATAAAATACAAAAACAATTTAATTTAGATGAATATCTAAGAATGAAAAATCGAATTTATATATAAATACACAAGTCAAACGAAATTTATGATAGTAAAAGTCATCATGCTTAATACTAAAGTAACCATGAAAATTCGATTAAGCTGAATCTTGTATATCTTGTTTATTCGAAAACTAGTAAAAGGATATAAAAATTAAAAATTTATATTTCATCACATATTATGATGTTAATATTCTATAAAATTCAACAATACCTGTTCGAATTCTTCAGGATGTGTGGACAATTCTTTTTGTATTAATTCTCTACGTTGCAAAAGTCGACGATTTCTCCGCGTCTTTGCACCATTATATATCTCAACCATTTGAGGCTGAACTGGCTTAACGTGCGGAATATGAGTTGGTACATTTGTAAAATCAACGGCAACTAAACATAATAAATGGTAGACTTGTTAAAAAAAGTTGTTATTTTTATTCAATAATGCAAACTACACAATACCTATTGTGAAAAACCCATCGTTGGTAAAGAATCTTTCACCAGTTAAAAGATTTTCTGCATAAACAAAATACAAAAATGGTATCAAATTAATATACAATATTTTATACGTATAATGTATATACAACATTTCAACATACCAGCTTCAACAGATACATATATTTCCGAACTTGAATGGAATGTGCAAGACACGACAGAACGCACCGTTACACCTATAAAAAGGTTTAAAAAAGGATTTACAAAAAATTTTGGAAAATTAAATAACATAGTCCAAAAATAATCAGAAATTCATACAATCACCAACATAAGTTGGTCTAAGAAATTGAAGAGAGTCGATACTATATAAAAAATATAATTAAATATAAAATACTGAATAAAAAATTTCCAATTAAATCAAAAATAATAAAATTACCTAGCTAATAATAAATGTCTTCTGGAATGTTTATAAGCACTGACAAGAGCACATTGTTCCATCAATCTTATAATATGACCTCCAAAAGTAATCTAATTTAAAAATGTAATTTTAGTATTAACAATACTTGACATCTTAAATAAGGCAAGAAAATTTTAAATTTTTGGACCAAAAATTTATAATAGTAATTCATTTAATTTTTATTTCCAGTTAAAAGCCTATTATTACGCACCAGTAAAAGAAATTTCTGATTAAGATAAAACCTTGTACCTGCAATGTGTTTGCATGCTGTGGTAAGATAACATCAGATATTTCTGCAAAACTTTCAGACATCAATCTTTCATCAGGCTGTGGGGGGAAGACACCTTGCAGTGTTGATCTCCTCCTGCGAAGATATAATTTGGCAGGATCATTTCCGGAATTCCCATCATATTCATCATAAGCTTCAGGTTCTTGTAAAAGAGCTGGTATCTCAGCATTACTCATTGTTTCCATATTCATATGTCCAGCCCATTCACGCATTACATCACGTACCTCAGCTAATTTAGTTCGTTCTATTTGAGTATTTTTTGATTGAGATATACGAGTTTGACGACGTTGTTCAGCTAATTCGTAACGATGTGTTTCAATGGCAGTATTTGGTACGGCTTGTGGTACAGTTACAGGATAACTCTCACGTCTTGTAGCTATTGGAATCCTTGAATTTCCAGGATTGAGAGCCACAAACGTTAAGTATGCTATTAAATCATTTAATAATTAGTTGATATAATCCTAATGAATATTATAAATTAAAAATTAATAAACTTTTATTTATACCTTGACAACAATATTTTCGCTTTCCAGTTATTGGATGTTCCGTCTCTACACGTACTCCAACCTAAATTGAATACAAAAGCATAAAAAAAAACATAATCCAAATCAAGTAAAATTATGGACATTAAATTTTACTACCTCCATAGAAGTATTCCAAGACTTGTTTACACATGATACGATTATAACTAAATCACCAACTCTGATCGGATGCATAAAATGCACAGCGTCAACGCTTCTTGTAACCTATAATTTTTTTTTTTTTTTTTAAAAAAAAAAAAGGTATAACTTGACAATAATCTGATGAACAACGGAATGATCTAAAAATTAATACTTTACACATGGGTATACGGCGTGCCTTTTCGCGGACATCCCAGCAGCTAAATCGATCCAACCCAATACAATACCTCCAAAAATCATGCTTCGAGAGTCAGCATGAGATGGTAATACAAGGTTTGTTGTAGTAAACCTATTTAGTAAAGGAAAAAAAAATTTGGTATAAATAACT